CAATAAAACCTCTGACACACAAGAGATAAGGAACACAGCCATGGTCTGACTGTCTTTTCAGTTATAGTGATAGGAACTGGGAGCAGCATCTCATCCCAACAGCTATTAAAATGACGCGAGAGCAGGAACAGACTTGGTGAGCAGAATCCTGACCCTGAGTAGACAAATCCTGTAGCTCATTCAAAAAGCAGACAGCACTTATTCCCTGTTTCAGGGCTTTTGGTGCTTTTGTTGCCAGAAGGTTTGACCTAGTTGTAGTAATCCTTTATTCTGGCTAGTTCAGGACGTAGAACTGGTTACACATTGCCACGGCATCAGTAGCAAGGTGAGTGTTAAAGGGGGACTGGGTAGACAAGTTACAGAGGCTGAAGCTGCCCCTCTAGAAGTATAGGAGTCACTCCCTCATGCAGGCTACCTGGCATTAAAGCAAACGTCACCCATTGTCATTGTCATCTCCTGCACTCTAACAGAGCTTTCCTAATAGTTTGCTTGCACTATTATAATTAAGATGAAAGTTCTAAGATCTCCATTTCTTTCTATTTTCTTTAAAAAGAAAGGACCAATTTCTTGCCTGCCTTTTAAAAGTCTTGGCTGTTTTCTTCTGCTCTGTTTAACATGTAAAAAGCCTTTAGTACTTTGAACTTATTGTGAGATGCAAAATACAAGACCCGTCTATGTGGAAAACCTTAATCAGTCAGGAAGTTGGTAAATTATGTCTTCATGCCATCCATATTGAGTGTCCATTACTCCTGGACATAGCACATTAACTGACTCATTAGCTATTTCAAACCATATGGACTTAGGTTTGGGTGGGTTGATCTGATAATATCCTGAGGTGAGCTTCCTAATTATTGCAATTATGTGATCTCAATCATGGGGCCAGTCACACAAAATAGAGTCAAGAGTCTTTAAAATGGGTGTCAATGCACCTAGACAATGACTGAGTTGAGCAACATGCCCCCTGGATGTTGGAGATCCCATGATACTGCAAAAAGTAATTACTTTAAAAGTTCTAAGAAACTGGCAGTGAGCACAGCGACAACTGAATAAGCAAGGGCAGCGCACGGGACTCTGCACAGATGCACAAACTTGAATAGATTTCTCAGCAGAAATCGGGAAGCGGTCTGAAACTTGATGCCTTGTTGTCAATGGTCTTAATACAGAGATGTTACATCTCTAGTGTAAATTTAGCCATGATATTTTAAGCAACAAGGAGATCTGGAGCAGAGGGGGGGAATTAAATGTGGAAGTGCTAAAATGTCAGTGTTAAATACCACAAAAGCGTCACAATGCAACAGCAAAAGAAGCTACAAGTTGCTCACTTACTGTAGCACGTTTAAGGGGATTTCTGTATGTGATACTGCAAGTTTTCACATAAATGACTAAAGTCTTTTAAACTCAAGCTTTGATCTGAGCAAGAAGAAGAAAATGATTGAAATAAATGGAAAATGGACCAAATGTTTAATGTACAGTGTTTTAAAGCAAACACAGGAACAAATACATCTTCAGGACAGACATAAAAATAGTTTGCTGTATTATTAAACACATAAAGAAAGCACTCTTTGAGAATTTCACCACACTTTTTAAATGCAACCCATGATCTTACAGCATAATTTTTTGTCACTCTCTAGAACTTACTCTGGAAAAAGGACTAGGAATAGATTACTGCTTCTGAACCACAGATCAAGATAAAACATCTAAAGTTTATATCCTACAGGTTTACTTCCAAAGCACCTCCTGAACACCTACACATCCAAAAGGGCAGGTATTAAATAGCACCAGACACCTGAGTGCATAGCTAGATAGCAGAGCCACACGTTCAGAAGTTACTTGAATACGTAACTTTGATCCACTATGTAAAACAATTTACGCTCATATCTTCACCCCAAAACTAGATCACTGTATTTACCTTGCAGAAGAGCCAGCCCAGGGTATTAGCAATGAGTGCAGAACAGCCTCAAAAGTATACCATCACCATTTTCTTTTTCAGTAATATAATAGCAGCCATATCTGTACCAACTCCACAAAGAAACTCAGATTTCCTCACGTATCGTCTCAATACATGTATACCAAACAATACAAATTAACTTCTAATATATAATTCTCAGTATCAAGGAAAATACTCACCTGAGCTGCAAGAAGGATATGTTCTTCATGAGAAAGGCCTGTGGCTCTCAGCTGTTTGCTGCAATGTGCCATTAAGAAGTAAAACAACAGTAATTTGGTAGAATCTTCAGTTGTATGCTGGCAGGATTTGTATATTTTTACACCTACTATCATACACACCTTTCTCCTATAAGGATTCTTGAATTTGGCAGTAACAGTGGCTGTATCACCTTGAAGATAAATTGCTTCCATCATAATTATGCTTTCCTGAAAAAAAAAAACCACAACCAAACAACAATCAGATAAACCCACTCTTGTATCTACAGTTGTTTTGGCCACTCATCCCCTTTACACCACATCCCCAAATTGCTAATTTGAAGCAACTGTGAAAAGGCAATGGAGACTTTAACCCATTTAAATGAAGCTCATGTTTCTTGGGAGGGTTGCTAACTGGTTGGTGATAAGCAGGGAAGGGAAAAAAAAAAAAAAAAAAAAGCTAAACCAAACCTGTCTCCAGCCCAACAGGAAATGAGGTTTACTTAGTCTCACTCACAAAACACAGGGATGTGCTATTTATAAGGCAAAAAGGCCTAGTATTGAGCTCTAATCTGACTAGAGCTTTTTTTTAAGTAAACTGTTGTTTTAGTTTGTTATCTTTAATGATCTTTGTGGGGTTTGTTTGTTTTCATTGTATAGCACAGATCTGTATGAAAAATTTGCCAGCAATGTTTCATTTTTTTGTGGGTCTCCTAGTTATGGCTGTTTGTTAATAAAGATCTTGCTGCACAAGTTGTGGAAGAGCTGCATGATATTAAAGATGGCTAAGACTTAAGATACTCTTGTATTTGGATGGAGTTGAAGCTGTAAGCTTATAATTTCTTTCCTTTTAGTGGGAGAAGGAAATTTTCGTTTAAAAACTGAAGACCTTAAACCTTAGCTATTTATGTAGGTATCTGTGTTGTAGGAGTCAAGCAGATGTTATATAGTTTAACTTTTCAAAAACAGTAACAGATTGCATATGCTACTATATTCATTAACAGTGAAACAGACCCTTGTGTATCTATTTCTACTTGCAGTTTTGCTATTAGCTTATAATGACTGTTTTTAAAATAGCCTTTTCTGATGACTTCATTATTCCTTAGAATTGCATAAACTTGTTTTTGTGATCTTATCCTTGCTCATGAATAAAAAGCACTAAATAAGCTCAAAGCACCTTATATTTCTATACTGTTAAGTTTTGCATTGAATCCCAACCTTACATTAAATCAATGTGTTCCACTAACTTCTCCATTTTAGAGCATTCTCAATGGTTTCATGGGGACAAAAGGGAAATCAACTCTGGTTTTGTATACTTAAAAAAAAGGCAATATCTAACCAGTTTTGTTTCTTTAAAATTATGTATCTTTCATTCATGAAAACAGATAGAACTTTTTCTTCACGCAATTTCTATAAATTTTGATTCTTTTATGGGGTTTTCTCCTGGTTCTGCAAAAAAAAAAAGCCTTAAACTGTATAAAAATGTAGGTGTCAGCTAGAAATCAAATACTACCACTGGTATCTGCTAAATATGTAGAAGGTAGATTCAAGCCTTATCTGATTTGTTTTACCTTCTTATGCTGATGTACTTTTGTGGGCAGGGAAAGGTAGCTCAGAAACAGTAAACTCTCATTCCAAGTGACAATGTGAAAGGGTTACCAAAATGGTCTCTGAATAAAGGTGCTAGCTCTCTCCAGTGAGAGCTAATGGTTTCTTTGATGCGGCATTAGGCATCTGTGATTGGTGGGGTTTTTTTAAGAAAACAAACAACCCCAACCTCCTACAGAAACCCTGTGAAATGCTTTATGACAATCTTGAATTTATTTGCTTTATGGCTGAGTTATCTACTGGCAATTCTATAGGTGGTCCTTTCAGTAATGTTAAAACCATGAAGCTGGCAAGACTGATGAAACAGAAAGGGTTGCTATGTTAAGGTCTAATCTACTGACAGCAACATATACTTTGCAGTCACAATGTTAGTAGTTTTAAATTCATTTGCAAATTATGTAGTTGCTGAAGTTCTGGATTTTGATTTTTCTTGAACCTATTATTTTGGTAAAAACTTGTAATCATTGCTTGGAGTACGTGGTGGTCCCCAGTGAGCTCTACCTAGGTGTAGTGTGCTGGCTGGGTGGACCCTATTAATAAAGCAAAGCTTGAACAAGATGGTGGCTTGTGACCAGAGGTATGCCCTGGGAGTTTGGGGAGTGAAAAAGACCCACTTCATGGTGACCTTTATTAGCAACTCACAAGCTGATGGTGGTGATGGGGCTGGTCTACCCTTGGGTACCTGCCTGGAGCGATGGGCCGCAGGCCTGTGAGGTGGCTGTTCCCTCTTTCCCTGGCACTGTGGGGCTGTGGAGGGTTTCCAGTGCTCCAGGCTGCACAACTCTATCATCTCAACTGGCGCAAACGCAGTGTTGCATGCTGCTTTTGGGTGAGTATTTGTGTTCTTGGATGTAGAAATGATCCTGGAATACAAGAGGGAGACAGTGAAGGGACTCTGATGGAAAGATCCTGAGGTAAAAATGAAGTGGCCTGACTGAGTGGGGCCACTTTGACTTCACTACTGCCCCTGCCGTCCTTGCTGCACACGGAAACACCCCTTTTTACCTCAGTCAGGGAACAGTCTGACCAACTACTTCTATATTTACAAAAGCTCTTTAAGGAAAAAAAGAGGGGGAAGAAAAAAAAAAAAAAATCCTCACTGGCGAAGGCCGCTTAAAGAGAGAGACGGGATCAGGTGCGCCATCGAACTTCTCGGTTTGTCGCCTCAGGAAGGAGCGCGGCGCTGGAGGGGAAGCGGGAAACCTCCCCCGCACCGGCCGGGCCCCGCCTCGCTGAGGGGAGAAGGGCGGCCGAGGGAGTCCCGCCCCGGCGGCTGGGAGGCAGGGCGGGCAGAGACCGCGTCCCGCCCGGGGCTGGCAGGGCAGTTCCCCTTCCCGGGGTTTCCCGCCGGAAGACGGCGGCCCGCCTTCTCCTCCCGCAGCGGGCGGGCTCTCGCCTCCTGGGCCCGGCCTGCGGGAAGTTGGCGGCCGGCGCCGGGGGAAGGCGGCGGGGCCCCCGCGGAGGTGGGTGCGGGCGGAGCGGCCGAGTGCGGGCCGCCGGCTGCCCTGCCCTGCCCTGTCCTGTCCTGTGGGGCGTTGGAGGGGAGGCCGCTGCGAGTGAGCCGCCCCGGCCTGCCGCCCAACGGCAGCGCCCTTCGGCCCGCGGAGAGCTGGATATTGTTTCTTCTGACAAAAGTCAACTTTTTGTTTCGTTTTTCCACCCCGCCAAGGTGCGATGCCACCTAAGGATCGCGGCAGAGGCAAGCTGCCAGTTCCTCTCCCGAAAGACATGATCCTGAAAGACACCGAAGGAAAAGTCTGGAGGCTGGGCAGTCAGATCGGCCAGGGAGGATTTGGCTTGATCTATTTAGGTAAAATACTGGTGGTAATTAGAAGGGTGACTTGTAAACTTCTTTGTAACTTCCTGACACGAATGAGACAGAATGGGTTTATAAAGTTGCTGTTGTTTAAATGCTGGTGGGTCATCTGTGTTGAAGTGTGGTTTTCGGAGGTTTGCAGCGCCTTGTTGGGTGTCCTTCTAGTTCCAAAGTGTTGCTGATGGTGCAGTTTGTTCTCCACGGGCTGTCCAGCTCGGTTTGATGGCTCCTAGTGCCCTTCTCTGTGGAGCTGGCGTGGGGTAGGCAAGGTGCTGGTGCTGCTGCCAAAGAACACTGCCAGGTGATCCTCTTCAAGCTCTGGAGTGCTCTTTAGGTTTCCAGTTATTGGAAATGTTATCTTCTGGCCAACACTAAATCAGTTTTCATCCCAAGAAATGTAACAGTAACAATAGTTAGCTGGGTGTTGCCTCTGAATTAGTCTTTCACCAGAGGTGGAAATGCTGTTCTTTATTTGCTCTAGCCTAGGTGCATTTCTGTATTTTCTTCAGAAGAAGCTGCTGCATTTCGCTCAGTCTGTGTTTTATAAAGAATGAATGGTTCTGAAAGGCAGTTTGTAAAGCATTCTGGGTCACTGGAGAGGATATAGTGTATGTTACTATTGCTGGTCTCTAAGAAAGAGTAAATCCGGTTTTCAAGGCAATCTTAGGAGTTTGTTTTGGCTTGTGTTTTTTTTTTTTTTTACTTTATTTTATTTTGTCACACCAAATATATACAGGCAAGCTAGTCTACAGCAACTGTTAGGGACTAAATTGAGCTTGTATTAAGACAGCACTAAAGAATTATTTAGAGGCAGTTTTGTGCATCATCCCTGGAGCCAAACATGATCTTTTTGAGTTAGAGGTATGTTAACTCTCTATTTGAAGTATTAATGTTTAAAACTTGATAAACAAGTCACTCCTATACCTGAATTGACCTCCTTTCATGCATAAATCAGGTATACCTTATTTTTTTAAGCTTTTCCTTCTTGTGCGTTTCTGCCATGGAAAATAGAGTTTTGATTGTTTCCCACTCGTGTTTTTTTTTTCAGCTGATCTCCTAATAATGTTTCCTTTATATTGAGTGATTTGTCAGAAAATAATCTGTTAACATACTGTTATGCAGCATGAGCTTTCCACTTAGTGTGATTTCCAGATTTTTATAACAAGACAAGTTTTCATTAGTACAGGCATCATATGTCATGTGCCTTCTCAATTCTTTTGTCTTTAGTAACTCTTTTCAAATAGCAGAGCTGTGCTAGATTCAGTGTGGTTTCATGGAGGTGAAGGAGTTGTCCGTCAGTGTCAAATTGTAGCATCAGGCACCTACTCTAGAGAGAAAAAGTGTGTGTTTCCTATAGAAGGGTTAGCACGTTTGCTCTTTTCGTATTTGCAGACATAAACGTAGCACTTGTGTGCCACTCGTCTCTTGGTGACAGATTTACTGTGATCTTTGTTACATCTGTCTGGCTATCTCATGGTGCTTGTCTGCTTTCAGCTGTTCAGGAACATTTTATATTGCACTGAAGTGTTCTTCCTCTCCCTCTTTTTCCTCCTTGTGTCCATTATGGTTAATCACAAAGAACTGAATGGCAACTGAAGACTCATATTTTATTTCATGGTGTGATAGTCCCATATGTGGTCAGATTTTGCTTCTCTAAAGTGGTTGCCCAGTTGTACTGTTCTTCCAGCTATTAATGTGTGGCTGCAAACTGGATTTTACTCGTGCATCTAGACTTCTAGTTTGAGTAGAGAAGCTTTCTAGTGGGGGAAAAAGGGCATAATCTGGCACTTTGTTCCATTCACTGCCTGTGTAAACAAGGCAAGAAGATTTCAGTAACAACCTAAATGCCACTGCTTCTGCTTTTCCTCAAAGCAAACCCAGTCACTGAAAAACCTGGAGAAAACTAAGCCTGTGTATCTGTTTGCAAGTAGTTTGGTGTAACAGAAGTGAATGAGTAAATGGAAACAGTTGGTGGATGTGGCCCTACATCTACCCTTATTTAAATTGAGGGTTTGTTTGACTTTGGACTAGATTTGATGTGGTCTACTGCACTGAATTTCCTCACCAAGTGCATGGTTTGAGGCTGTTTGAAGGAACTGTTTTGAATTCTTAGGTTGCTGTTAGTAGCTGGAGTACATCTGCTAGGTTCCTGTAGTGGAGCTTCTGGTTTAGTTTCCCCTGGAATTCATACAGTTCACGCATACCTAACTGCTCTGCAGACTGAACCAGTGGGGATGATAGGGTTTTCAACTAACTGCAGTTATAGAGGGGTCAAAGGCTAGTGCACTTTAATAATATTTACATTATTTTTCCTTTTGATATATCTGATAGCTAATTATGACTTTCTTTGAAACATAAGTTGGTTATGTTTGAGAGATGCTGTGCATAGAGCATGTATGAGATGTTGCCATAAGAAAATAGACCTTAGTGTGAGCTAAGAAGTAAAGTTAAGGTGTCTCTGGATATTGCTATTCAAGGATAAAGGAGAGTAAGAAACAAACTTGCAGAAGGCTCTCACGGCGAGGAAGGACTGTGGGAACTGGGGATGCAGTGCAGAAAGCAAGGTAGTAGTAGTTTTCCATGTGTAAGACAAAAAATGTTGTGTTCCTGAATCACTCAGAATATAACTCTGTCATCTGCTGCAGTCAAATCACGCCGGACCTTGTGGGTGGTATCGTGTGTGGGATTCAGGCAGTTTCATGCAGATTTGATTAGTTTTCTGCCTGATCTCACAGACCACTGAGGTGATTTCATACATTGTGGTGTTTGTTGCAGTTTAGCTCCCAGTGAACCGAGGTGGAAAGCAGTCAGTGGATTAGTTGAGAATAAGAATATGATCTGGGACCCTTGGTATTATTACTATTCAGTGTTTTTTCATAAGTGACAGCATGGCTGAAGAAATACAGCTGCCACTTTTATAATGGTATTTGTGTTCCTTTAATCTCTTCTTTCAGAAGGGGTAGTGAATGTTACATGTAGCACTAAACTGAAGGCTTAGTTCCCCTTGTAGCTCATCCTACAATTAAAAGAGGAAATGGGTAAGGTTTATCCCCAAGTATTGACACTGACTGCAGCATTCTTTAGTCCACCTCTTTCTGATACATGTTTATACTATGTAAATTATACCATTCAGTAGCTTTTTGGGAGCTTGATCCTACAAAAGAATTCAGCTGTCTTTGAGAATCAAATGGAGTGAAGAAGGTGACAAGCCTTTGAGAGTAAGATACGGATGCTTGGTGCTGAGGGGCACCTTCTTTTTCTGTGCTGTTCGGGCTAGTTTTTAGTGCATATACAGCAAGATGTGAGAGGACCACTAAACTTTTAGTGAGAAGCTAACCCAGAAAGAGCTGTAGAGAGGTGGGCAAGACAGGAGAGCAGAGACAGATTCGACTGCCTGCCAGATATGAACAGCACAGCCCTTTTATAAAAGTAAAGGTTAACTTTGCCAGCTATATCTTTTAATAAGTATTTTTACAGTAGCGGTGTAAAGACTTTGATGTGCATTGTTATAGCTTAATTTCCCATTAAGGGTACTCCATACTCCATTAATCTATAACAATGTTCTCGAAATTTTACAGGAGCTCTGCAAAATATATTTACAAGGGATGCATTCTGTGGAAGATTCTGTTCATTGAATCAAAGCTGCTGAAAGCCGTTTACTGACCCTAAGCCCTAGGATGCAAATAGTCTCTTCAGGTGCAGGGCTTCTAAACTTCTAATTACGTACATGAAAGTTATCACTATCTACAAGTTTCTATCCTGCCTCACATTTCCCCTGGTTTTCTAATTATTCCTTCTCTTTTCTGTCTGTGCCATCTTGTCTGTTTCTTTGTTGACTTGTTCTGTCCCTTGGATTCCCTATATGTTTTTATCTTGACCAGAGCAAATCCAGGAGCAGAAAGCTTTTATAAATACCGATTCCTTCCAGTGCTTCTGAACAGGAGAGGTTCCTCTGCTGCCAGAAATAATAGAAGTCATCTAGAGATGTTATCTGAAGCATTGCTGTTGTAGCAAGAACAATATGGATCATAAGCTGGAATTAACTATGCTGTTGTATATCAGAAATTTTATTTTATTTTTGTTACTGGTACTGATTTGCAGACACCTCAGACAGTACTGTTATCCTTTTGTTAAGAAGGAGCAGAATGGAGAGCAACCGGACAAAAATGTGACATGTTGGTGGTCTCGGGACTAGTTTGTAGCCCTGTGGAGAACAGTGGCAGTACAGTGGAAAATTAAGCAAGAGTTAAGGGGGGTGCTACTGAGAGGCTTACATTCTCTCATTTATCTTCTTGATCACAGTCAGTAATTAACACCAGTCTTTATATAAATCATTCTCTAGTCCTACTGCAAGTACTCTATTAATGCACAATTTGGACTGAAAATTTAAATGCAGAAGGTCACACAGTGTTTTGCTAAGATTCCACTGTCACAGTGAAATCTGCTGTACACAGCATTATCTACTTGCAAGTTTCTTTCTCATGAAAACTGATCGTTCTGCAAAGTATTTATTTTTTATCTATATAATTTTATATGCATGCATGTTTGTTACTGTCTTTTACAATAGAATTTACTACATTGTAAATGTATTTTAATTGTATTAATATGTATATTGTGATGGAACTTTGAAAGTGATAGGTGAAAGCTAGGAGTTTTGAAACCATTTTTCATAGCTGGCTTTGCAGCAGGTGCTTACATGTTGCTGTTTGACTGCTATTTTTGTGTGTGTTACAATATGCAAAGCTCAGGAAAGTGCATGTTGATAAAGCTATAATCAGTGGTGACTCTGCCCTGCTTGGAGATGTGTCACCAGTATAGCCAGCACACTGACCTTTTCTTTTTTTTTTCCTTCCCATTTTCCAAGAAGAGACAAAGAGTATCTGCTTGAGTAAGCAGTGATTATTGTCTCTTAACGTTAAATATTGTTTTTTAATACCAGCAGCACAGGGAACTCTGCTGTTGGTGGAGATAGGGAAGAGGTATGGTTGTGGCCT